AAAAAAAAAAAAAAAAAAGACTTTTAACTGTTTCATTGTTATTTTATCTTTTTTTGCATTAAAGTAAATTTTTAAAAAACAGTATTAAGCTCTCCTTTCTTAATAATCAGAATTTTTCATTGTCCAGGGGGGAAAAAACAGATATCTAATACAAGTATACAGAATCTTAGCCCAGGTTTTAGATTAACAAAGATAATAAATCACCACACTTAACATTTATGATAAAAAAAAATCTAGCATAACTTAAATTAAGGCAATCAAGAGCTCATTTCTCAGAGATTTTAGTTTTGCTAAAGATTTCTAGGACTCTGCAAAAGTGTTCAGTTCAGTTATTGCTACACCACATATGTGGTACTAACAACTATGGAAAGAGAAAATGGCCTAAGAAAAGATTATTTTTTAAATTACATCCATCTAATATCAGAGACAGTAAAATTGAAATTAAAGGTCACAAGCTGCTGTAGATGCATGGACTTAAAAATTAGAGAAAGCCATCGACAACTTCATTTTTATTCATTGTAATCATTTCACTTCGGCAATCTCTATGAGTGAATGGAACATCTGAGTCTATGAACGATGAATTTTGTCCTTTCCCCAGAGTGACTTGGGGTCAGAAAAGGCTGACTGATCACAAGTTAATTATAGTTTATCTACCTCTATCCTTCCAAATGGAGGAAATAATTGCCTAAAATGTTGGTTTATTACACACTCTACAAGGAACACACACACACACACACACACACACACACACACACACATAGAGAGGAATTGGCCTCCAATACTACTGTTACTCACCCAAAATAATCTCTAAAGTTAATGGCGCTGTCTTCTTAGACATGGATTCACATCACTGTATGTTAAATGATATATATCCCTCCCTTCTCAACATCCTTAACCACTCCTTTTAAATACATTATTGTTCCTGTGTGTAACTTGACCACAGAGGAAGAGTTACTTCTAGGGCTGGCCAGATACCTCAGCGGATTAAAATGCCTGCTTAGGCAGACGCAGGGACCAGGGTTTGATCCCTGGAGTGCTGTGCCAGCCCCACTCCTGGGGTGTGCTGAGAAGGTGATTGGGACTGGGTGTCGGGGAGTATGCCTATAATCCCAGTGCTTGGGAGGCTAAAAAACCAGGAGGATCACTACAAGTCCGATCTGTAGTGAGACCCTGTAGACCCTGAACTAAATACATTTAAAAAAAGAAGAGTTACTTCTTTGTATCATTTGAATATAGCTTTTCCAAGCTTGTTCCCTGGTCTGTAAACCTGGGGATAATAATAATAGAAATTGAGGCTGGGGAGATGGCTCAGTGGAATAAGCACTTCCCTGGCAAGTGCAAGGACCTGAGTTCAATCCCCAGTTCTGTAATAATAATAATAATAATAATATAAATTTACATATATGTTAAAATCAAAAGCAATAAGCATATGAAATACATGTTATAAAGCAAAGTACCATATAGGTATCTCATTTTAAAGGGGACAAAAGAGAATATATAAAAGCAAAAAGATGAGTGAATTCAAGGTATAGGAAGAAACTGAAAATCCTACCTTACTCGGTCCCTATTCTGTACCTTCTGGTATGCAGTACATAAATTTTGAAACTATTAATTCACTTAACAACTTGAGCAAGACATTTATAACTGATAATACATGAGACTGCGTCCTAAGTGAAATACAATGTTATATATTTAATAAACTGCCAAGAAATACAAGTAAATTTTAAAGTAAATGACTTCTATCGTTTTACAGATCCTGTATCCCAAACTAGTCTCCAAATTTCACCTTCATCATTTCTCTCATTTCCTTTTGGACTAATTAATCAAAATCCTTCATTTCTAGCCAGTGTGTCTTCCTGAATATGAATAAGAAATAAAATACCATTTGATGTTTGAAATTATGGGGGTAATCTCAATGACGGAAATAGAGGACTGGGAAAGGGGAAGAGGAGGCCTGATTAAATACATTCATGAAAATATCTAAGGTTTATAAAGCCAACATCTGAACTTGGACATGAGACTGCTAGCCTTGGCCGGTGAAGGTGTGCCCAGTTCTGATCCTCACCATGGATGGCAAGGGACAAGGTATGTGCCACCAGGCAGCGAGTTGCTGCCTTTAACACTTTTGTGGGGGATTAATGTGAAATTGTAGCTAATAGCAAGAGGTCTCAAGTCTGCAGGATTTAGCACTATGTAATTATTACTCTGGAGAGAAACTGTATAGAGTCCAATAGAATAGTTCCGAGGTTCTTAAATGGGGGGCTCCACCTTCTCCATGACAGTTGGTAATGGACAGAGACCCTCTGGTGAGTGAGACACAGGGAGGGTGTTACTAGCGTCTAACCGGTAGAAGACAGTGCCCTGTGAGCACTCTCAAGTGCACAGGACAGACTGAGAAATTATCTGGCTCGAAAAGGTAATAAGGCTGAGATTGAGAAACTCTGGACTAGAATAAGACCACAGGAGGCAATGGGTGCCACCTGGGAGAACTCCACAAGGCAGACATGAACATTTCTGGTTCTCGGAGCTCATGTGGCTTGACCAATGGGATCGGCCTAATGCACCTTCAGTCCTGAAGCTGTGGGGCCGACAGCGGCAGCACGCGTGTGATGCCTGCCCTGCTTCCTGAGGTTGGCTCACGCCAAACGACTTCAAAACAAAAAACAGCCTCATCCTGAGTAATCTCTTCTACTTGCTCAGTGACATTTATAAGAAAAAATGAATTAGTAACCATCATAAAATTTGCTTATGTGAATAAAGAACAAACACATTTGTCTACTTTATCTTATCTTAAGCTGTGAAAATCCCCCTGCTGACAAATGTACAGATAAATGTCCTCGGCCTTGCAGAACGTTCACCCAGCTATGCATTTTCCTGGCGCTGTTGTCCCGGTTTCTCTATTTCAAAGCTCTCTTCAATACACCTGTACAGAAAATATCCATTTGGCTACCTTACCTTACGATGACAGACAGAAAGTAAATTTTTGAATCATTACGTTTTGGGAAGACTAAAAGCCTATAAGGATCATTATTTTTAATTTTGTAGCAAAAAGACTTAGTTACAGTCTATAGTAAGAAATGTTTAGGTATGTTCATGATTTTAGGTATGTGTGTTTAGGTGTTATTAATATTTAAATCTTGAATGTTGGAGAGCTCCAGTTGCATTTATCAAGGGCTCCATGAAGCTAAGTCTTCTGTCACACTTTCCTATCAGAAATTCTTCAGGAGTAGTGTTACTGAAGGTAAAAGGGGATTTTAATTTGGTAGCTATTTCTTTCCTTTTGCAAGCATAAATTATTGATAGGCTACAGGTCTGCATCATAAATGGACAAAAGCATCTCTGATTATTTTCAAAGAATATTAATGTGGGAATTTTACAGAGCAGGCAAGGTAGATAAAAATCAAGCCTCAGAAGGCCACTGTTACCCTACAATCAAAGAAAAATGTTCTCATGAATAACAGTAGCAATTGCTGCAAACATCGCGCCCCAGGACCGCGGATGGTGTCTGGGCTGTCCAGAGTCAACCTGAGCACCCACAGTGTGCGCGGTGGTGCAGTAATGGATGTGCACAGCCCGCTGCCCTCATGCACAGCCTCCCCACCTGCTAATAATAGGACCCAAGGAAAATCACTTGACCTCACTAAGCCCTGTGCTTCATCAATATAACTTGATGATAATTAGGAAGGCACAGTCTGTCTCTCAGGGTTATTGTAAAACTCAGATTTAGAAAAAAAAAAAAAAAAGCTAGATGTTTTGGTCAAGCAAATACACTGGATTCTCATGGGTGTTAACAGATCCAGGCCAAGGCATCCTTTTCATGCTAGGATACTTTTTATGTTCAGTACTAGCAACCACTCAATTGTGGCTTTATTCTTACCAAGCTTGATGATAAAACAGACAGACAAACTGTGGTGTTCTTGTTATATCGGTGTCCAAAATGCAGATATTAGACACTGAGTTAGAAAAATTACAAGCTCCTGGAGAGTCTGAAGGCTGAAAAATCTACAGAAATTCCCAGGATGTTAAGCTATTTTAAGAGAATGACTTAAACACCTCCCATCAGAATTAATTTAAGCTCCAAATGTTTGCAAAGCCCAGAAGTGTCTTCTGACACCCACACAAAAAATGCAAGAAAGAAGTCATTTGCTTCTCAAACTACGTATCTGTGCAAATCCAAATGCACATTGTGGAAGGTGTTGAATCTTCTTTTCCCCAGCTATCCAAGAAGCAGTGAACCACAGGCAGAAGTCAGTGGGAAAGATAAGTCGTTTCCAGGCAGGACTGCTTTGATACCTTCTCTGAACAGATTATCTCAAGTGGCTCCTGTTCTTTGTTCAAGTACGGTCACTCTTACTGCTGCTGCTTATGTCAAACCTGCTCCTGTGCAAGCACGTGGCTTCCCAGCCCTTCTGTCCCAACGGGGCTAGCTGCCGGGTGTCCCTCCGAGAACTGTTTGATCGGGCCATCATCGTATCTCACTATATCCATAGCCTCTCGTCAGAAATGTTCCAGGAATTTGTAAGTGCCTCACTTTTTGCCTCTTTCTTTCGAAAGGAACCTTCACGCCGGCAGTTAGGCTGCCCTACAATTTAACCATGAAAATCGTATCAGGCAAATTTCAAATAATGTATCTTAACAGGCTAAAGGTGGCATCGGCCAGTAAAAAGTGGGATGAGGAAATGGAAATGTTCGTGAAATCTCGCAGTGTTAATGAATGTAGTGATTTGTTAATTTCTCTTCATTGGCTTCATGTTTCAAAATGTAAACACTTGACACAAATCACCCTGAGATGAAGCAGAAAAAACATGCTGATTTCTTGTTCTGTGTGCGGAGGGGCATCCTCAGGCAGACTGTTCCCTGAGAACACTGCAAATGTCCCCAAGACGTGCACAGCACTGCAGTGATTTGGGTGGACCGAATAGAATTAAGTTAAACTGAATTCATGTCAAAGGGGGAAATTGATAGCTTTTCCAGCAACCTCAAAATGCTAGGAACCACTTTCCTAAAACCTGTAGTGCGTGAGTTTATGATTACAACAGAAGGACTATGGAGTGCAAACAGGCCCTACCTTAGATGACAGACTTTGAAAGTTGTTATCTCTTGCAGGCCAGTGAAGGAGCAGGTGACAGATTAGGGCCTGCAACTAAAGGTTCCCCATAGAGAATGTGGTCCAGTATCTGTAATAAGTACATATTCATAACTGGCCATGGTGGCACACATCTCTAATCCCAGCACTTGGGAGGCTGAACCAGGAATATCACCATGAACCTAAGGCTAGTCTGAACTGCAGAAACAATTATCAGTTCCTTTTAATCACTAGGCTGTCTTTCACTCCCCATTTTCAGCTTGCTATATTTTGTCTTCAAAATTTTCCCACAAAAACCTTTAAAAGGTCACAATATTTTGCAGTCTTTATTTTTAATCTGAATGATTATTTAGTAGTTCCTAAAATGTTTCCTTCCTGTTTTTCTGACTTCTTTTGTCACGATAAAAAGTTTTGTATCTTGAAATTATGATGGACTTGGTAAGACACAGCTACAGGTAGTAAGAGGCAAATGAAAGTGAAGTTACAATTAATATCATTTTAAGGAAAGAACATCAGTCTGGACTCACAGAAAACAAGAGATCAAGGAGACAAATACAGAAACATATTCACCATGGCTATTGGCTCAAATACTAGAGCAAAAATTGCTTAGTTTTGCTAGTTTTAGTGTTCACCTTCCAGCCAGTAACTCAGAGGAGGGAGGAAAGAGTGAGTGCACAGCAGAGAAGGAAGAGGTTGGAGGTTAGGAAGGGAGTTGAAAACAATGAGATTACAGCACTAATGGACAGGGGAGCAAGCAGCGGGGTTACCTTATTAATTCGTTAGCTGCAATTTTTATGTAGCATTCATTTTTTTCAATTACGCATCCATCAAACGGATTACTATTCTGGTAATGGATCCACTGTTTTCAATTCCCAAACCACAGCTAATTGAATTAATTGAATTTTCTTCATCATTTCCAGGATGCGCAGTATTCCCAGGGCCCGGGGTTCTTTACCCAGGCCATCAGCATGTGCCACACTGCGTCCATCTCCACCCCAGCTGGCAAAGAGCAGGCCCAGCAAATTCACGTGAGTCACTAGCCCAAGCTTCCCCAGAACCATGGAGGCCGAGTGCTGGCTTTGCCAAGCCAGAGGTTCTAGCAGGCACTGTAAGGGGTGTAGAAGTAGTCACCCCGCAGAAAACAATGGAGCAAGAGTAAGCAAACAGAGAAAACTACATTATGTAGTTGATACACTGTATAGAAAGCCATATGCTAAATAAAGGCTATACCAGATCCATAAATTGTCCAAGCAAATATTACTTAAGCCAATGCCTTGGACCTAGGATTATATATAATATACTGCAGGAAAGTTTGAACCGACTTGGACATCCAAAGGTAAAGAGACAATCATGTAAATGTATATGAAGTACAGGCGCACTTTCATTTATTACAGGTTCTTACTGGCTCCCGCATTGGCAGCCTTTTCCTTCGATGATGCCTGGCTCATCTGAGCCATCTTTTCCAGTTTTCAAGATGCTCTTGGTGTTCCTTGGTTACTTTCTCTCAGTGCTGGGACAAAATATCTGACACCCAAAAATTAAGGAAAAAGTTTATTTGGCTCACAATTTGTGGAGGTTTCAGTCCATACTCAGTTGGCTCCAAGGCAGAGCAGCACAGGTCAGAGGGCAGCAGCTCATGGTGGTGAAAAACAGCAAAGAACAAGAGCAAAAAGGGAGGAGCAGCTGCCACAGCAGCTAGAAAACTTGTCTCACTTCCTTATATTGTAGTCAGGCTCTCTGCTCCTGGGTGGGAGTGGCACTCACATCCAGAATCTCAGCACTGGATCATGAATTAATCACAAACTCTAGAAGCTGCCCCACGACTGCACGAGGCTTTAGAGGGACAACTAGACACAAGCCACAACACTTGGTCCTACTTCTCCCCGAATACTGACTCCTTCACTCTTACTGGCTCCTCTGCCCTCTCCTACGTCATCACTGATAGTCACCCCCATGCATGTAGGTCACAATTGTCACAGATGCCACTCTGGCCTCTGCTCTGGTGATAACAAAGTGTACATATCAAGCCCTAATCATTCTTCCAAGTTCCAATTTTTATTATTATTACATCTCTCTTCTGGTTCTCAACATGATTTTAAATAAAAATAGCACTTCAGAGGGAAAACGAAGTTGAATGTTATTGATTAGAACCCTCACCAAAAAAAAAAAAATGGTTATTTTGATCAGTTCTCTGTGTTTGTTTTATTATAGCAAAGTATATGTTAATGGCTTAAATTTCATCTTGCTGACATCTTTCATTTACTGAAGAATTTTACACAAGCATTGAAATTACAAAGAAATATTTGATTTCACTCTTTCTGAGCAGAGTCGTATGTACTAACCCAGGTCTATCTCACTTATTTTAATGTCACTGCTGCAACCCTGCTGCTTAGCAAAAAGACTTTGTCATCCTGGTCATCCACTTGCTGCGCTCCTGGACCGAACCTCTGAATCATCTCATCACAGAAACCAGTCGCCTGCCAAAAGACCCACATGCTCTCAGAGCGAAAGCCGTAGAGATTCAGCAGCAAAACCAGCGCCTTCTAGAAGGCCTGGACAAGATTGGCAAGCTGGTGAGCCGCCTCTTGGGCTTTCTTGGTTTTCTCATCAGAGAGGCCCTTCCCTGGTGGTAAATGTTTCAAAATCCCTCACTTGGAAGGAACATTTAGGCTAAATGTTCTATCTTATAGACTGCTGCAAAGCAAGAGTCACAGCCAGCCATAATGGAGAGCTTGCCAGTACATCTCAGAATTTCACTGTGCCAACAGGTGCTGCCTTCCCTGCACTGTCCACAAAGCCATCAAAAACTTGTCCCTCCCTTGGGTGGGTGGTTACACATTCCCCAGGGAAAGATAATTAGACAACAAGACCCGCAAGAGAAGTACTCTTTAAATGTATCTCAGGAGACCTGCACAGAATTTCTGGTCCGATTCTTTTCTTTAACTTCTCACCCCAGAGGAGTAGAGTGGGAAGAGAGAAAGGAGAAAATCAAAATCAGGTCAGATAGTCCCCCAATCTGTCGCTACCCCTACCTAGAAGAGACAGAGCAGGCTACAGCATCAGCACTGTCCCATAGCACTAGCAATGAGAGGGTCATGAAAGACAAGCTCTACCCTTTCTGGACTGTTCCTTATTTTATAATGTATAGAAAGTTATCTTAAAGTTCTTTGACTTGGAGTTCCTAAATCAAAACATCATTATATTTAATCTTCCCTAATAGTTTGTCATACCTAGATTGAATTAATATTTTCAGTATGCACCTCTATTCAGATAGAACAATTTCAACATTAGCAAGATGACAGCTGAAAAGCTTTCTGATGTCCTCAGAAATAATGGATTATATCTAAAGAAAAATACATGATTATAGAAATAATAACAGAAGCAATTTTATATTTCTCTTTTTTGTGTTCTAAGTATATGTTATCATGTGTCATTTTTGTCATTTTCATGGTAGAAAAGTATCTCCAACACAAAGGACATATTAACCCAGGAACACAAGAAATAAACACCTTAATTTTCAAGTTATTTTCTTCATTACCATGAGCCGACTTCTGGAGGTCACTAATCTGTCTCGTAATGCTTCATCTTCTGTTCCTTTTCCCTACCACTTGTTCACTTATTTCTGCTCATATCATGGCATCTTGCACAGTAAATTTTGTCAGAGGGCTCAATCACCAGAAATAAAAATAAATAAATAAATGCAGAAAGCAACATCACACACACACACACACACACACACACACACACACACAGAGTTTGAACTCCAATGGGGACTTCCAGATTTCAGAAGTGTTCCTGTCCTATAGGAGAAAGTTCATCAGATCGAGATCTGTAATTACTGGAACCGGTGAGATAGCTCAGCGGTCTCAAGCGCCTGCTTAGGCAAGCTTAGGCAACCGCAGGAACCATAGTTTTTGGATCGCTGGCACCACATGCCACACCAGCCCTGCCCCCAGGGTAGGATGAGACAGCCCACAAGAAAAAAAAAGTCTGTAATTACTGCAGATTTGTACCTTGGAGCTGTTCACATAGTTGGAGACACAGTAATGGTTTTAGGAGCATCCAGCTTGCTGAGGCCCACAGGGTGCACGGGGCCCACTACTCCATCTTGCTGACTGAGCACATTTCTGAATGAGTCCCATCCCACCCTACCCTGACCCTCACTGAGGCAGGCTGCTTCCAGAACCTTCCTTCCCATATGTGCTTTCCCTAGTGACTCCCACCCTTGGAACTTAAAAGTAAGAAGCTATTCCTCCTTCAGGCACCCCTGACCCTGTTAGGCAGTCCTGCCTGGACTCTCTGCACCTTGAGTCATCAAATGCAACCCTTGGTATCTCCAAGTTGTGGGTACAGAAATGATATGGAGAACAGATCCAGCTCAAAGCAATAGAAAGATAAATCGTGAGCTACGGGTAAAAATAAAGTATAAGGGGACATGAAAAGACAAGCTGCAGCTTTTTCAAATGTAGAAGTTCCTAGTAAGAAAACAGATCCTAGCCCTCCCACTGTGGCTTCTTCAGCTCCATGTCTGTATTCCAGCAACAACTTTCCTGTTCTTCACCTGTCTATGCCCACAGAAAGGTACTTCACTTGCATATTGGAAAAATTATACATGTGTTCTGCGCATAGCTTTTAGATGAGTAATGGTTTTATGATATGCTGACAAGGATACATGAAAACTCAAGCTTTTGGCTAAAGTTTTACACTCCCATCTCTCCCCCACATCTTTATTGAACAATTGAAAGCAACAAGAATAAGCAATTAAAAATAATACAAAAACAAGCAATGTGAATATTAAGTGACTGTCTTTGTCAACTAGGTTGATCCTGAAATCACAGACAATGGAGACTACGCCGTCTGGTTGGGACTTCCAGCTCTGCAGTCAAACGATGTAGAGTCCCTCCTATTTGCTTTTCATAACATGTTCCGCTGCCTGCGCAGGGACACACACAAGGTTGACAATTATCTCAAGTTCCTTAAGTGCCAAATTGCTTATGACGGCAGCTGCTAAGCCATTGCCTCTGCTTCTGAGATGGTTCTTTGGGATCCAGTCCTTGGAAAGCTTCTTTTCATTTTATGGATTTTAAATGCATGCTTGGGTGTAAGGGTATAAGGTGTCTTCTCTTTAAAAAAAATAAATAAAACTGACTCTGTGGCATTGTCAAAATCTTAAGTCAATTTGCCAAGTTTCTTTTCTTCATTTACTAGAAAGCCAGAAGAAAATCTATCACCACTTATAAGAAGTTCCTATTCAAATTTATCACAAATAACACAATCACCCTCACAAAAAGGATAGGTAGCAATTTTAGAATCATACTGAATTAGTGTGGATCAAGTTATGAGAAAGCATTAGATTATTAGTAATCATTCTAGTCATACTGTAACAAAGAACGAATTCTCAGAAGTCTTTACAAAAGTCAGCCACATTCTGTGAGCTAACTTTCACAATGTTTTGACAGACAATGCAAGTTCTATCCCAACTGCAGTGCTCCTAAATAGCACAAGATGTGCTGAGCAGTCTAAACACACAAATATGAAATGGCTTTAGATTTCTCTAGCAGCTGTCTCTAAACATGCTCCACTGCATTCCTATCTCCTTAGCATCATCTTGGGAATACTCCATGTGTTCTGGTCACTCTGGGTTTTATAAGTCCAGCCAGTCATGTTCCAACACCATCTTGTCTTCAGTTATTTGATACTTTCCTCTCCATCTATGGCAGCCCAAGGTCCACAGCAAACAAAAGAGATATTGTTGATTTCTAGAATGTTCCTACCCTAGTCCTTCTGGATCACCATTTGTCTGACAAGGTTGGAACTGGATAAAAGAGTAGGACAAATAGAAGAGCCCTGACATTCCCACCACAGGAGGTATTATAATGACCTTCCCATGGCTGACAGGAACTCACCATGAACCCCCTCAAAGTGGCAGATGTATCTCTTGTGGAGCATGCATGAGGTTTTCCAGAACATGGCCAGTGGGAACACCTCATTGTAGTGCATCTTCATCAGAAAAATACTGTGCTTTCATCTTCCTGTCAACTCCACAGCTCTGCCACCTGTAGTATTCTTTCAAGGCTCTTCCACTTGTTCCCTTATTCTGAAGGCACTCTGCTAAAGAGAAAAACAGGCTCAAAGTCATCCATCTGCCACTGGACCTACAGGAAGCTCATGCATCATAACTTCTCAAAGCAGTGGAGTATCACTAGTAATGTACACCACTGTTCCCTCCCTTGGGTCCTTACCAATTCTTCTGCTGTTCACAGCAAAGAATGACTCAGAAAGTCACATTCATTCACAGCCACTCACCTGAGGAAGGAGATTACATTCTTCCCTTCTTGCAAACACAATAAGTAATTATCTCTATCAATACTAGCATACAGTATTAGCCTGAAAATCTTTTCCACTAGGTGACTAAATTATAACCTCTCCCACAAAATGCCTAATTATTGGATAATAATTGGATGAGAGTCAGCCTGTCTCCGAAAGACCTAAACTGAGGGCTTACCCATTGCCAGTCCTCTTTAAAAGGTAGAGAATTTGGGAGAGTGTTTGCATCAGTATTAGGTTTTTTCCCAGGATTTCTAGACAACATAAAATGAGAAACATGCCACTTAGTATCCTACTTGGAACAAAATAAAAGGAGGGGTGTGGATTAAAGAGAAAAGGAGATACACAGAGAGGGAAGGAAGGAAGGAAGGAAGGAAGGAAGGAAGGAAGGAAGGAAGGAAGGAAGGAGAGGAAAAGGAAGGATACAAAGAAAAAGATGATTGAAAGGTGAGTTCTGAAGGATAAGATGTTGTTAAGAGTGCTGTACTGGGTGTATAGAGACCTAATCTGTCTTACTAGGAATTCCCTAAAAGAAAATACCAACCTATTCTCCTTTTACTCTCCTTTTTATTCTCTCTGAGATTTTCATTTGTATTAAGATTATTCTTATTTTTCACAATGGGTTTGCCATGAGAGCACAGGTGTAGTGAAAACTACCACTAAATCAAAGCCAACATGGGAAAGGAAAAGACTCACTTTAATATCGTTGTCATCAGACACGTGGACTCCAGCAAGTCCACCACCACCAGCCATGGCCATCTGACCTACAAATGCAGGTGCACTGACAAAACAGCCATTGAAAAATTTGAGAAGGAGGCTGCTGATACGGGGAAGGATTTCTTCAAGTATGACTGGATCTTGAACAAGTTGAAAGCTGAGCGTGAGTGTGGTATCACCACTGACATCTCCCTGTGGAAATTTGAGACCAGCAAGTATTTTGTGACCATCATTGATGCTCCTGGACACAGAGACTTCATCAAAAACATGGTTACAGGCACATCTCAGGCTGACTGTGCTGTCCTGATTGTTGCTGCTGGCATTGGTGAATTCGAAGCTGGTATCTCTAAGAATGGGAAGATCAATCTTTTCTTTTGGTGCAGCAAACTTGCAAGTAATTGTGAGCTATATGACAATCCAGTACAGGGGCATAGCCAGCACTGATCTGGTTGGAATGGTTCAGGGCATGCCCTTCTGGCTTACACACTGGGTGTAAAGCAACTAATTGTTGATGTTAACAAAATGAACTTCATGGAGCCACCCTACAGCCAGAAGAGATATGAAGAAATGGTTAAGGAACTCAGCACCTACATTAAGAAAATTGGCTACAACCGTCACACCATAGCTTTTGTGCCAATTTTTGTTTGGAATAGTGACAAATGCTGGAGCCAAGTACTAATATGCCTTGGTTCAAAGAATGGAAGATCACCCATAAAGATACCAATGCCAGTGGAACCACACTTCTTGAAGCCTTAGATTGCATCCTAGCACCCACTCACCCAACTGACAAGCATTTGCAGCTGCCCCTACAGGATGTCAACAAAATTGTCAACTGTCCTTGTGGGCCGAGTGTAGACTATTGTTCTCAAACCCAGCATTGTAGTCACCTTTGCTCCAGTCAATGTCACAACTGAAATCAAGTCTGTTGAAATGCACCATGAAGCTTTGAGTGAAGCTCTTCCTGGGGACAATGTAGGCTTCAGTGTCAAGAACATGTCTGTCAAAGCATGGCAATGTGGCCGGTGACAGCAAAAACGACCCACCAATGGAAGCAGCAGGTTTCATCACTCAGGTGATTATCCTGAACCATCCCAGCCAGATCAGTGCTGGCTATGCCCCTGTCCTGAATTGTCACACAGCTCACATTGCTTGCAAGTTTGCTGAGTTGAAAGAAAAGATTGATCACCAGTCTGGTAAGAAGCTGGAAGATGGGCCCAAGTTTTTGAAATCTGGTGATGCTGCCATCGTAGACATGGTTCCAGGCCAAGCCCATGTGTCTCGAGAGCTTCTCTGACTACTCACCTCTGAGTCGTTTCACCGTTCATGATATGAGATGGACAGTTGCTGTGGCTGTCATCAAAGCTGTGGACGAGAAGGCTGCTGAAGCTAGCAAGGTCACTAACTCTGCCCAGAAAGCTCAGAAGGCTAACTGAATATTATCCCTAACAGCTGCCACCCCAGTCTTAATCAGTGGCAGAAGACCAGTCTCAGAACTATTTCTCCCAATTGGCCATTTAGGTTTAATAGTGAAAGACTGGCTAATGATAACATTGCATTGTAAAACCTTCAGAAGGAAAGGAGAATGTTTTGTGGACCATTTGTGTGTGTGTGTGTGTGTGTGTGTGTGTGTGTGTGGCAGTTTTTACGATATTTTTAAAATCAATACTTTTCAGTGGAAACAACTTGACCAAAAATCTGTCACAGAATTTTGAGACCCATTAAAAAAAAGTTTAATGGGGAAAAAAAAGAATATTCTTTGTTCATAGCAGTTGAGTTTCTATACCTCTAGAGATAAGGAGAACTTGGCATTTCTGCACATTGGAATTCAAGGCAATTTTTTAACTTTTTCAAAAAATAAAAGAAAAAGAAATCCTTTCCCACGCTTATAGGAAACTTCCCCAGCAAAACCAGTCTCTTCCCTCATAGAATTATTTTATATAAATCTTTCTTGTCTCTATGATAACCCAAACCTTTGAGAACACAACAGCATCATCTACCCCAAAGCAAACTACCCCCTTCATACTCTTGAATGCCTGTAAAATGTCAGCTCTCTCTCATAATGCAACTCTTTTCTTTTAAAAGGCAGACAAGTATGAGTAAACCTATATATGCTTCATTTCTGAGTTACTTATTGTTGAAATATCTGATGCTATTATGTTTCCCACTTAACTTCCTTTCTGTCAATTTCTAGATATTTCCAACAGAGAGGATGGTATTTACCAGGGGTGAAATTTGGCAACAAATAACAACGCAATTGAATGAAATATAAGTTCACCATTATCCCACCTGCAACCCTATGCATTCCATGCTTATAAAGTATTTATTCCAAACACAAATTTAAGACTTCTGGTAAACCACTATGGGGGGATAATAAAAGGCCTCTCCTTGACTGTGACATATAAACTGAATACTGTCATTTTCAGACAAGACTGAAACAGAACCATAGGTGTTCTGTAGAGTCAGCAAGGGGTAGCAGTCTAGAGGATACTGGAGAATATAGCAATCACTCCTTTTCCAATCAGAGTGACTATATTTTTTTTCTTCCTCCATGTAAAATTGCATTTGAATAGATGGTCCTACTAAAGTAATAATGGCAGCAGTGGTGTCAAAGCAGCCCTAGAAATTCATTAACATCATAGGTCAGCAATTCATATGCCGTGGTTACTGTAAGGACAGAGAGACAGAGAGAAAATGGGAGAGAGATTGAGAGAGAGAGAGAGAGAGAGAGAGAGAGAGAGAGAGAGAGAGACAGAGAGAGACAGAGAGGCAGAGAGTAAGAGAGCTAGTCAGAGTCAGAGACAGAGAGAGAGAGACAGAGACAGAGAGACTCTTTCCCAGAAGTTAGTTCTAAAATTGTGAGAGAAGAAACATAAATATGCAAATCACTATATTTAACTGATAGAAAAGGTCAGTGTAATAGGTGATGCTAAATAAAGTACCAAAGTGACTCGAAGGACAGCTAGGAGA